TTGCTTTTCAGAGTGCCTAGCCCCCTCCCCTGCATTAGTGTAGGAGTCCTTTAGTAATGCTGGGCTTGCTAGCAGGTAATGAAGGTAACAAACGAGTTGCTCTCAGGAGAGAGGGAAGTTAACCACAAGTGCTCACGTCGCACCCCTTCCCTGTCGATCAGAAGAACAGAGCTGACTGGGCATGAAGCACTTGTGGTTTCAGTGTTAGGATGTGTGGTTAGGGGGAGAGGTTGTGAGGGCCTGTGGTTGTCACCAAATTCTTTGAAATGGAAGTATGGGTAAGAATAAAAAGAATAGGGGTGAAACCTTGGAGCTCCACGTGAGAAAAAAGTTCAGAGGATTTGAAAAAAGCATTGTAGTAGAGATCATCTGTTTTCCATTGGTTTATTTGGATTAGTCTTGCAGCATATTTATTCCCTATTTGTAAAGGGTAGTGGTCTAAAGAATGGATTCATTGCAAGAACTCTGTTGTGTGTGAGAGGGATGGTGTGGATGTAGTACAGCCTTGAATAAAATGCATGAGTTCTGTGATAGCTTTGGCCCCGTCAGATACACATCTGTCTCGGGGAGAAGGAACCCAGACTGGGATAATGAGGGTTTTGTCAGGGTGATTTCTCATGAGACTTTCTGACTGAAATGAGAAATAGTTCCAGCCCAGCTATCCAGAGATAACACATCTGGCCTGCTCAGCTTCCCTCCCAGCTGATAATCAGCAAGTGGCCAGGGAAGATGGTAGAGGCCCCAGAGGCGGCTCCTCTGTATGTGTATATAGTAATCTGGCTTCCCAGCCCAAGGAAGATGTAAGACAGCAAATTCAGGATTTGGTTCTCAGATTTGAGGGGGTGTGGTTTTTGATATGGCCTAATGAGGAGGGGAGAAAAAAACATAGAAATTAAACTCAAAGGAACAGTGAATTTCTCAAATATGTAAGGTCAAAATGCTGCAGTAATTCCCTAGTACATCACTTTGTGACTAAACACAGTATTGTTTAGTAGTGACACAGTAATGACCCTACACCCCTATGAAAAAATTAAGTTATGGCCTGCCTGCTCTATAATGCAGTGGAAAAATGTGTACTTTCCACCCACAGGCATTATAAATAAAATTTTTGATCCTTAAAGTTAACTGTTGGATAGTAAGCTTTCCACATTCATTGCTTCATCCTTTAATTTCATTTTAAAAGTTCCATCAGCTTTCTTAGGCATGTCACATTCTCCAGGTCTCCCCAGAGCAGTGGGGCTGAGGCGTACCTGTTTGAGTTGAGTACATGTGTAATTTTGTGTGGGTTACCAGCCAAAACAGGAGACTAACTTTTGGGGAGCTGTCAAATGATTGATTCATGGCAAGCCTTCCCAAGTCTCTTGGCCCAACTTAACCTTCTTTAACTGTCAACAGTTAGGGGCTGAGTGGTTTTCCCAGTTTACAACCTGATCATTTGACTTCCCATTTGTATTTGGAAAAGTCATTACTCTCCCTCTCAACCTCCTCCATCACTAGAGATTAACCCAAAATATGGTAATAGCCATAGTACATACTTCTTTGTATCCTAAGCTGTGTTTTGCATCTACGGTTTTCATTCTTTTATAATACTTCCTGCCTTTTCTCTTGTCCTTTCTGTAGTCCACGGCACTAAATTCTTCCTGTTCTATGATATTGGGTTGGCAGCAGTTGCCTTGTTAAATAGCTGGGCGTTGTTTTGGATAGAGATAATTGATTGCTCTTTCTATATGTCCCTTGCATTCCAGGCAAATAGATGTATCCTATGTATGTACATGGAGTGTAGAAAGGGATATTTAAACATTGTTGGCTGCGTGAATCACCCATCTAGATCAGTCTCTTACCTTGCATTCCAGTCAGGATGAAGTCTAGTTCACCTTTGGTGAAACTCTTAGGGGTTAGAAGGTAGGCCTTGGATTTTAGCAAGATGGTGGCCTACGGAAAGAGGATGAACAACTTCGGCTATGAGAAGTGAGATTCTGTGGCAGGGTTGACTTTATTCATTCTTCCATTTTTCTCCATGATTAAAAGTGGTCGAATTGAAACACCAGGAGTGTATGATGTTCATACATCACTGTACGCTAAGGAGTGACTGTACATACAGTTGACTTTTTAATGTGCAGTTCCCCCCATCTTCACCTCCCTTGCTCCCCTCCCGTTAATCTGCAGCAACCACAGCACATCTGTGAGGTGGATAATCCATCAACTAGTAGTAAAAATACAGGATACAGGCATCTTTTTCTGTATAGAATAGCTGCATTACTCAAGTTGCCTTTACAGTTTTCAAAAGCGAATGAAATGATCTCTTTGTGCCAGTGGACTTGGGTTCTTTGGGGTTTTTGCTACTACATACGGGCCCCATGCCATCTCATCCTACACCCGTGAGACGTTTGTGGACCAGGGGTCTGTCCTTTTATCCCACACTTGCAATTGGAGTTTAACTCTACAATTTGGACTTGACACCTGTGCTTAAGAGTGCTACCTAGCCGGGCTGGATTGCTGTTTTGTTGATCCCAAGTCCTGTTTACTACGCCGCCAACCAGAGGTTTCTTAAATTGGGATTGTCAGTGTTAGACATAATGTTGGTGTTGAGACATTCTTTGGCATTAGGGGCGGGCAACCAGGGGTGCCTGAATTTTACACAAGATCACAATTATATCCTCCTGCCATTACCTGTGTGTTCCCCCCACCCCTGCTGACCCTGAAACAACAAAAAATAGAAACAAAATAGCTCTGTCAACTGGATTTGAGTCTCAGACCCCAATATCGAAAACTTCAGTTAGCTGACTTGGACCACATGGAATGGAACTTAAATAGCTTCAGCCCAAAGCAGGTCCTGACTAAGGACCTTCATCCTGCTTCCCCCTCAGCCCCCGAGCCCCTTAAACCTGTGTCATTATTTACTGCTCTGTCCTGATGGAAGGACCTAGAGGCAGGCCCTGGAAAATCAGTTTACTCTTCTGATTTTTTGGGTGAAAAAAGAGAGAGCAGGTTCCACCTTTATGCTTGTCTGAGAGATCACCAGGACCATCCCATATGGGAGAAGACTTCAGTGCTCACTACAGCAGAGGAGAGGGGGGAGGACAGAGTCATATTTCCATAATCTCACCAACAAATGTCTTGTAACTCTTCTTTGGGAAAGAGAGAGGACAAGGTGGATGTGAGCAAAGGAGTACTTGTTTCCCACTTTATCCTCAGACCCCTAATGTAAATTACTGCCCTGTTTATCCAACCTGCAGTGTTGAAGAAATATTAAATAAATCATTACACTTAGGAAATTGACCTGTGTAATATCATGAGCGTGAGGGAAAGTAGCCATTCTTTTCTCATGCGCTATAGGGTTAAGTATATTAGAAGTAAAGTTGAGATGAACATTAGTACCCATTAGTAGTACTGCTCAGAATCAATCAGCGATGTCATGATAGCATCAGTGGAAGTTACCTTCGTTAATTTTATTTTGGAAGACTCTTTCCTACATTAGGATAAACTATTGAGCTTTGGGTTTTGTACTTTTATTTGTTTAGGAACTAAGTAATTGCCTCATAAAACAGCATGATGGTACTGTTAACACTGAATTATAAGACCTGTTATTATAGAATGTACTTCCCTCTTTGGGATAAGACTTCACTGTCTGGTGCTTAAAATAATTAGTTTCTTCAAATGAGGTTATAATGAATAGTGTAAATTTTTACTTATTTACAATGAAAAAGTTTACAATCTCTTGGGCGGCTTTTGATACTTCCAGGGAAGGCGTTTCTTTTGGATGGGATTGGCGGAAGGGAGATATGTTTAATGTTTAGAATGGAGGTTTTTGAGAATGAGAAGAAAGAATTTGTTTCTGTCACACCTGAGACAAATTAGAGATAATTATTGAAGGATCTGCCCCACTGTTTTGCCTGATTTGGGTACTGAGTATTAAAGGATTCATTTACCAAATACTCTTGAATTTGAAATTTTGGGGGACTTTCTCATGAATGAGAAAAAAGTTTAAATGACCCATATGTCAATTTATTTCTGAACTGACTTAAAATAATGTGTGTGTGTGTGTTTATTCTTTGTCCATGCTGTTCAACTTTTTGTGGCAAAAATTTTAGGTGTAAGTGAAGGATCCATATATGCTTCTTAAAGAACAGATTATAACTCTAAATAAGAATTTATTGTTATTTCCCTGATGTTTTATTGAAAAGCTACATATTCGCGGCAAGTACTGTTAAGGAGTAAAAGTGGTTTTGGTGTTGTTTTAAATACTTAAATGAAAATCATTTGTTATGTGGAAACAATGGAATCGGCGTTTCAGCCTTGTTCTGTACAAGGTGTCGTGTACTGTCAGATGCAGGAAAGCTCAAGATATACACAAGTGATAAAGATGTAAATGTGCAACAGGTTAAATTCAATTCAAGGAAATGATGGGAGAGAGATATTTAGAATATGATTAATTACCAAATTAATGGCAAGGTCAGAAATTGCAGCAGTTGCAGTGTAGGTAGTTAACCTTTGTGTATTTGGATTAACTGCTTATGAACAGTATTTGGAGCCTAATAAAAAAGATAAACTGTTCTTATAGGTCATTCTCTTTGGCCTTATTTTCTTTGATTACCTTAAAGATAATGATAGCAAACACTGGCCGCTGACCAGTGTTCGTTTGACACTTTCACCTCCTCAAAATGCCACCTCATTTTATTCTCAGAAGGATTCTTGCAGTTAACGGAGTTACTATTATTCATGCTTTTAAAATTTAACATTTTTAACATAATGAATAATAGTGTAAATATATATTCATATGTTTTTAAAATTTATAAGTAAATGACAGAGCTGAGGCACTGGACATTGAGTTCACTTGGCCACTTGGAGACTCAGGTCTGTGATTTCCTTGCCTTCGCTTCACCCCTTTTAGGGGCCTAACACAATAACACAAATGGAAGAATTTGAGTTTCAGCTGACCTCATGACAGTGCACTTAAATTGGTGACTTGTTACAGGTGAATTTTGGGGGTTCTGAGTCCTTTTTAAAAAATGGTGATTTTTCTTTCAGGAAGCCAGTTGAGGGAAATTCTCCATGAATGTACGTCACAATGATGATGACCGACCAGATTCCTCTGGAACTGCCACCGTTGCTGAACGGAGAGGTAGCCATGATGCCTCACTTGGTGAATGGAGATGCAGCTCAGCAGGTCGGTGCAGCAGGAGGGGAATTTAAGTCAGATTGTCTAAGGGGGAAACATAAGCCCAGAAGTTGTTTTATTTTGAGATTCACAGATCTGTGATTTTGAACCTTGGTAGTTTGCTAGATATAAGGGTTTTCATTGTAGAATAACTGTATAATTTTTAAGACTATCAGAAATTACAGTTTTTGAGAAAGCAGATCTTATCTAATCCAGTTAGTATTCTTAAAACATCAAAAAAAGAAAAAGTCTGGGTTTTCAAGTGAATCATTCTGAAAATATGTACAAGTCTTTGGGGAAAAAACCCACCGTTTGCTCATGTTAGACACTGTGCTTAACTGGCTTGCCTGGTTGGCCAGAGCAGGACGCCCAGGGGGTAGGTTGGGTTTTGATCTCACACAGTGGGTGACCCCCAACAAGATGCACAGGTATGTGTAAACCCCCCCGGCTGCTGGAGCAGTCTTTCCAAGTGTAGGGCCTGCTGCTCAGGAGATGATGGTACTTACTTTCTGTAAACCTCTTTTGTCACTAGTTACTTAACATCACAGAGTAGAAAAGTTATTCCTGAGCTCGTTCCTGTAGCACATGGGAAAAAATTTAAGCGGTAAGTAAGACTTTAAAAATTATTAGAGATGGAAGTATTGTCTCTGATAACATTATTTACATATTTTAATTGACTACTGAAACTGGGTTCCCTCAGTCTTGTACTAAATAAATGTCATTTTAATGAAAAGTAGAATTGGGAACAGTTGCTTGAAAAATATATACCCAAAATATATTAATAATTCAGATGAGTTAATTGGCCACTTACTTGACATTAGTACGTTGCCCTCCAACCCCAGTCATACATTCACATTCTTTGTCCATCACAGTACATTCATACATTGTGTATCCCTCTGTTGGTTCGTACTTTGCAGCTTATATATAATTTATTATTGTTTATAGTTATATATATATTACTTTCTCCTGCATTAGACTGTAAACTTCTTAAGAACAAGGAACATCTAATAGGTGCTTAATAAATATTTATCAGTTGAATAAACTTCCCTTCCTGCCACTGGTACGGATATCCCTTCCTGACTCCTGATTCTCTCTCTTGGCTCATTTCCACCAACCTATCGTAGTGTCTTTTACCTTAAGCACATAAATAACTACACCTCTCACCCACCCAACAAAACCAGACCCCCCTTCCTTGACTCCACATTCCCCTCCTGTTACCACGTCATACTCTGCTCCCCTTCACAGCAGGACTTCTCTAAACAGAGCCTCTGCTTCCTTACCTCCGTTCCTGTCCAGCTCCGGAGGCTCCGCTTGCTTCTTCTCATCTTTGTGTTCCAGTCTGTCACCAGGTCCGGTCGACCTTCTCTCAGGAACACTGCTGAAACCACGCTTTGCCGCGTCCACTGCATTTCCACAACAGCACTCCCCAGGTTAGGACAGCCCTTCTCCCTGGTCTCACTGCTCTTACTTTTGCCTCACCAGAGAGCGTTTGCCACACAGCAGTCTGCTCTTCTGGAAACATAAATGCATCGTATCGCTGTCCTGTTGCACCTGAGATAAAAGCCAAGCGTAGTCAGCCGTCCGTGCTTTGTCCTTGCCTCTCGCCATCCTTCTCCCACTCTGCTCCCGCCACTCATGGGAAGGTCTCAGTAGTGCTGTGGCTGGTTTCAAGAGGCGGTGTTGGATCTCCTTTCTTTTCACTGATTAAAAAGCGCAAGATACTTAAATATGACTAAACTCGGGAAGCTGCTAAAGGGCTCTCAAATGTCATCACCGGATTCCAGTTTACACATGTCCCTAGGAGACCTGGGCCACCCGTCCCTGTTGTGCACCATTCCTGTGTGTTGATGGTTTTTCTCTCATTTCTGTAATTCACTTTGCACAAATTGGCCTTTTGTAGTTTGTAAGCCAACATACAGAGCCCTTAGGATTTTCCAATTTTCTCTTCAGAAGTAAACTGTTTTGTACCCAGAAATGAGCAAAGACTGAAAAGTTGGGACCGCCTGAGAAGGCCACGTGGTATTTTCTACTCTGTGTATCTACCTCAGCTCTTAAGTAGAAGCTGTTTAATAATTTTGGTTAATAAAACCACATTATATGTTCATCCAAGAAGCTTTCTGTAAAGCCAAGAAGTGGGAACATTTCTTAATTAGTCTTTTGTAAACAGTCACAAATATCAAGCTCTCTCAGTTGGGGAGGGCACTGACTCTAGAAAAATGCCATCAGGAGGAAGTGTTCCGGTCTTTCTAATGAGTGAGTGTGTTTGACTGCGCTGGGAGCCTGGACATCCACAGGCTGTGTGAGCCCAGCTGCTGACTGGCAGGGACCCTGAACTTCCCGGAACGGGGCGCAGTTGTTGAGTGGGCAGAGTGTTTGAAACACCCCTCTCAGCAGGAGCGGCCCGAGGTTTATCCTGCC